AGCAGGACGGCATGGTTTGGGGTTATTAAAAAGATTTTTGGGCTTGAACGGGGCGTTCGGGGATGCTTACCATCTCTGTAGGACTGCAGGGACTCATCTCCCCAGGACGGGGGGAACGGGGACAGAGGAGATCGTGGAATGCTGCACTCGGACATGGGGGTCATGCTCTTGCGAGGCACGAAGCCGTGAGTTTCCCTCTCTCGGCTCGGGGACGAAGGCTCCGTTCCCATCGCCGCTTGCAGCATCGGATGCTCCGATGAGTTGGCCAACAGCTCCTTGAGGATGTTAATGGGTGAAATGGTGAGTTCCCAGTTGGTAATACCAAAGTCTCTCAGGTGGGCTCTGGCGTGGCTGGAAAGACCTGCCCGCGTGTCGAAACCGGCCCCGCAGAATTCGCATCGCATCAGGCTGAAAGTACTCGGGTCGAAGTTTGCAACTGCGGAAAGAAGGAGAGTCAGTCAGCGACGTCGCTAAAAACCCCCTGGATCAGGCTTCCGAGGGGTGGGGGTTATTGCACCCGAGACAACCGCACGCCGCCGGTTGTGCCGTGGCCACCAGGGTTCAGGTTGACCACAGTACCATACGTACCCAATTTTCGGTGGGAGGAGAAAACCCCACCGATTAAAATGAGAAAATAGAAAGCACGGTGAATTGAATACATACTACCTTTTTTCTTCTTCTTTTGGAAGGAAAATTTTTGCTCAATAGCTTTCACTTCTTCCGCTGAGATGAAGTGACGGACGTTGTAGCTCACCCCCACCCTGTTGAGGTGGCCCCGCACGTGGTTTGCCAGCCCGATCCCGTTATGAAACCGGTCTGGACAGTAGGGACATTTCCTCTCCTCGTTCTTCAGCATGGGTGAGTCGGAGTCCAAGAGATCATCAAGCTCCAGAGGACCCTCCAGAGGAGCATCCAACAGGAGCATATCCAAGGGAAGGGGCTCTTCCATCATGAATTCCCGGGAAGGAAGCGTCGTTTTCTTCTTGAACGGCTTTCCCCGAGGCCGTTTCATCGCCTTGGGGTGCAGGTTCACCTCCTCCAGGAGGACGATGGGGACCATCTTCCGTAACTGCCGCTGTTGCTCCTCCGAAGCTATCGAAGAGTCCGTGGCTTTCAAGGTGTCTCGGAACGTCCTCTTGAGGTCCAAGGCAGCTTGAGGGATGGTGACGGGTTTGATGCTTCTGTTTTCACTCAAATCTACATCCGTGCTTACGGAGATCTCCTCTTCCATGCTCCCAGCGTCGTTGGCCAACATCCACTTGTGCCTGAGCTCTTCCAGCCCCATCGGATGGCTCCTGAGACCATCGCCTTCTCCTTCAAGGTGCTGACCCGCTGCTTTTTTTTTCAGCTGCTGGAGAGCAAACTGGGAATAAGCTTTAGCGGAGGGAAAACCGGACAACCCCAGGTTTTTGTGTGGGGCAGCATACGGAGCCGCTTTCCTGGCGTGAAAGCCTGACGTCTGGTAGTCCTTTTTACTAGCCCCATTGCTTTTGTCCAGTCTCGGGTGAGTTACGGCAAAACCGTGGACAGCTTCGTAATGCGACGCGCTTTCTCGGTGAGGCGGAGGGAAAAGCCGGTCTGCTTTGCCAAAATAATCCGTCTCCGCGAACCGGCCTAACCTGGCCGGGCTGTAGGCATCTCTGCTAGTTCCCGGTTGATTGGGATCATCCTCATACACCTCCGTGTCCCAGGAGAGGTGGGAATGGGCGTATTTTATGTGTTCCTTAAGGATGTTCTCGCTGGGAGCCGGGAAGCTGCAGAACATACAGGTGTTGAGCCCTTTGCCGCTGCCGTGAGGCGGTACCTGCATCTGCAGGGACATGTGTTCATTTGGTTTGAAGTGTTTGTAGAGGCCGTGCACGGGGCTATCCCGTATTTCTCCGCCGCCCGCGCTTCCGAAGAGATTCAAGTTCTTTGCTCCTTGGTCTTTCCTCTCCTTGACGTGCATCTTGGCGTGCTGGACAAAGATCTTGGAGGAGTTTGTGCCAAAGACACACTTGGGGCACTGCAGCCGGGCTTCCCGGCCTTCGTCTGGAAACTCATTCAACTTCTGGATCTCTTCGATAATTTTTTCCCTAGATTCTTGGTGGAGCCTTTTGTGTTGCTCCAAAGACGTGGGGTCTCCAAAGGCCCATCCGCACTCGTTGCAGCAGAATTGACACTGCCCTCCTAAAGCGTCCCTGTCTTGGTCCCTCCCTGGTCCACGATTGTGTTGAAGCATGTGATCCATCAAATGTTCCTTTTTCTTGAAGTAAATGCTGCACTCGATGCAGGTGTACACCGTAGGGTCCTCCTCCGGACCCAGCTCCTCTTTCCCCTGCTCCTCCAACAAGACGCTGCACACGTAGGGCCTCATCTCGATGTCGTAGGAGCTGCAGGGAGCCGGCTCCAGAGACATCAACGGGATCCGCTCCACCGAATCTTCAGCATTTACCGTCCAGGACTGCTTGCCGACGGCGAGGTCCGCGCCGAGCTGAAGACTCGGTTTCTGGATTGTCCACTCGGTCGTGTTGAGCGGGTTGATCTCGCCCAAGTCTGAGTCGACCATCAGCCCCTTCCTGTGGGATGAGGAGCTCTCCAGGGATTTGGACTTGCCGAGGACAGGGTTTAGCGTTTTTCTGAACACCGTCGGAGTCAGCGGAGGAGGCACTTCACGCACGGCCTGTCCCCGAAAGGGCAAGTTGGTTGCTACATCTGTCAGCTTGCTCATGTCTTTGTAGTGAGGACTTGGGCTTTTGTTGGGTCTAGAAATCCAGTCGACCCTCTGGATTCCCCTCTTGCTTTTCTCTAAGTGCTCTTTGCTGAGGCCTTCAAGTTGCTTTGGTTCATTTTTAAGATATTTCTCTTCCCCGCCGCCAACCGATGCCCCAGCACGAGGGCTGGGCGTTTCTGCTGCCGCCTTGCCACCATCCAGGTCTTCAGAGTCGCTCTCCAGTTGCTCAGGATCCACCTGCACCGTATTTACAACCTGGGGCTCCACGGCAAACGCCGACTCCTTTCCGCACCGCGCGTCCTTCGAGTCCTTCAAGCCAGAGAGTCTCTCTAAAGTGCTTTCTTCTCTCCCATCGCCCGCTCTCGTCTCCAAGGTGGAGGTGTCCCAGCTCACGTTGCCGGACACGGTCATGTTTCGTCGGTCTAGGGAACTCCTGGCATCCGTTCTGTACAAAGCCTTCTTGAACTCCAAATGCTCTTCATTTGTGGAGCTGCAAATAAGTTTTGAGAGTTAATAATCAGTTAACGGGATAATACAAACATTTCCATTTACAAAAGGGTTGTCCTGGAACCAGAGCGAGCCGGCGCGGTGTTACGGCACAACACGGGCTGGGGATTTCATGGCAATCCCTGTATTGCTCCAAATAGTAAATATTTGGGACAAAACCAAGCCCGTCTCTTCCAACCCTTGGCCACATGCAGCTGGAATAATTTCTGCATCTTCTTCTGGGCTTGCTCCAAGCTGGTTTTGACGACGGCTGGATCTGCTCCCTACGGCAGCTCTGCCACGTTCATGCCAGGTACAACAGAAGCGTTGGGTTTCCATCACCACATCATCGATTCCTGCCTTGGGCCAGAAGTCACCTTCCCCTTGCTCCACCCCCCTCTCTGCTTCTCCTTTCTTTTCCCCTCCTAACTTCTCGGGATGCTCGGACACCACATTGCCTCCTTTTTACCCGGCTCGACAGGGATATTTGGTCTTAGCGGTGACACTTACCACTATCAGGCCGAAGAACAGGCCAACGAGCTCTTCCAAGTTGCATAAAAATAAATTTAAGTGTCAACGTGGACCATACCAAAGGTCTCTGGGACCAAAGGTTGGTTTGTTTCCATCATTAAATGGAAGTCCCTGGGTGATCCCCTTCCGCAGCGGGAGTGGGAAGTCTTTCTTCCCCGTGCGGAGAGGACCCCAAGTCACAGTGGATCAAGGTGGTTCCTCCTCATCCTCTTCCAAACCCTCTGCCGCAAGGACCCTAAATCTGGGAAGATCCCATCAAGCAGCTGGAGAACATAAAAGCCTCCAGGGGATGAGCTCTACAGTGGGAGTGGGTGGCTTTGGAGGTTTTGAAAGTCCTACATGGGGCTTGGAGGCTTTTTCAGGGAAGAAGAAGGGACGCGGTGAGGGCCATGAGGGTGCAACAGAGGCACTCGATGTTCTCTGAGATGCCTCAAGGGTTTGGAGATACCTAGGATGGGACCAACAGTTATGAGACAGGATCTACAAGAGCCTCAAGCCCTTCCGCTGAGGTGGTGGGAGGCTCGGTGGGGAAACAGAGAACCTCATGTAACACCAGATCCCCACATTTTGGCTTCTGAACTGGAGTTCAAGAGATCCAGGAGCCCCAATGTCCCTGATAGCAGCTTCACGGGGGTTTGGCAGATGCCGGCTCTAGAGCCGAGCAGACTCGAGGCATCCACCGAGCTGCGGAGCGAGGCGAGACTCCTCCGCGTCCCCATCCCTGCCCTAAGGACGTGACCCAGCTTCTGTCCTCCACACCCAGCTTCGTGCCCAGCTTCTCCCTCTACACAGCACCCACGGGGCACGGATGCACGGCTAAAAACGGGATGCAAACCACCGCATCCCAGGCTCCTGCCCCAGGCTAAACCATCCCTAGGGAAGAAACGTGCCGGACCGCAGAGCCTGACACCCGGAGAAGCCCGGTGACTTGAGACCTCATGGAAGGAGCTTCTCCACGGCCAGCAAAACACTATCTCACGGGTCAAGTTGTGCTGCCAGGAGAACAAAGCGCCTTTGTTGGAGACAGCAGGGCTGCCAGTTCCACACGGTTCTCGTGCTGCCTCTCCCTCTCTCTCTCTCCTTCTTTTTAAACCCATTTATTTCCAGCTTGTTCCTGGAAAAAGCCAAGTTTAGGGGTGAACCAACCCTCCCACCCCACCATGCTCGTCCTCCCAGCTCCGAACCTTTCCTTATTTTTTACTGCAGACTGGAGGACGGGCTCGCCCTTGTCTGGAGCGTGATATCAGGGAAACGCGATTCCCATACACACTCTAAACCCTGCAAACGTTATTAAAAATAACTCGCAAAGGAAACCGCTGGCCCAGGAAGGATCTGTCAACAGCAGATACTAAAATAAGCCCATTAAAACGTGCTGGGCATTGGTTGCATTGCTAAACGGGCTAAGACACAGAGCGATTCTGAGCCAGGCGCGGGTCCGCGGTGCCAAGAGAAGGGACAAGGACTCTTGCCCTGCACGACCCTTGGGCTGGCACTCCAAAATTTGCCTTTGCCGGGGTGCTCAGAGCTATTTGGGACACCTCTTAGCAGCTTCAAGACACCCAACGCAACCAAATCAAGCATCCACCTCCCAGCATCAATCTCTCCCTTACAGTAGGGACAGCCTCTGCAGTGCCAAGGGGAACCGGGATGGCTCCGAGGGGAACCAGGATGGCTCCGAGAGGTGATTTAGGGTAGGTAGAAGCAGGGTGGTTTGTTGGGAAGCGGGACAAACGAGATGAATTAGAGCAGCCAACACTGCTCTGCAGCGAGGGGAATGCGCTGGCTGGCTCTAGAGAGACCTGCTGACATCCTCGGTGGTGGGATGACCCTCTTCAGGGAAATATTTGGGGGTTTTGTGTAACTGGAGCACCCTTAGCAAGGGGAGATGGGCTCCCAGGCGCTCCCCACTCTGCAACATCCCTTGGGAACTTACCCGAGTTCGGTCCTGTGAGCTGTGGCTGGGACGGCACCGGAGAGGGCAGGATCAGGCTCATCTGCAACAAAGAGGAAAGCTCCAAGGTCAGTGCCCAAGTGAGGCTTCTTCAACACAATTTGCAATAAAGTGATAGTTTTTTTTTTTTATGTGTGTGTTAAAAAAGCTTTCCCAGCAGATAAACCCCCTCTGCTCCTGCTGCCCGTCCTTCCCTCCTACAGCCGGGTCCGGATTACGGGAGGATTTCTGAGCCACACTTAGGGTTTAATCCCGCCCGCAACTATTTGATGTATAATCGTTCCTGCAGCTAAGCAGTTTAACAGGAAGATGCACATGCCGTTGGCCACGTTCCCACCACCCCTGCTCGCCGGAGAGGTATCCAACAAGGGTTGTCTTGGTCCACCCTGCGAAGAAGACCGATTCCCACCGACTCTACGGACAGGGCTCATGAGCCTTCCCGGTGCTGGCACGCTTCCCTGCCCTTGGATCGGCACGCAGCGCTTCTCCGGCTGCCCGAGCATCATCTGGGGCTTGGAGGAGCTTTGCTTCACTCCAATGTTGGCCAAAGCCCCGAGATGGCTCCTAAACTAAATCACTTCCAAGCCTGCTCGTGAGAAGATGCGAGGCAGGATTTTGGGCAGCGATGAGAGGCAGGGAAATGCCTCCTGAAGATCTACAGGGTCTGCTGGTCAGACCCAGACACGTCCTTCCTCAAGAGGAGGAAAGCCTTCGGCTGCGTCCAACGAAGACGTCTGCGTCGAACCCGGAGGCTCCGTCAGTCGGGGCTGAGCTCAGGGCAGGACACCAGGGGGGTCTCGCTCCTCATGCTGGATGCCCCCCATCCTGGTCCTGCCTCACGTTGCCTGTCCCAGTCG